TTATTGCTATTCTTTATCATTTTACTTTGTGGGTTTTTTCACTTTTTAGGTGTCTACTTTCTTTCTCGTTGACGAATTGTTATTTTCTTGAGTAAAATAATCTTGGTGGGTAGGAAGTTGTTGCAATCAAAAATCAACTACAAATGTCTGCATGTGAGGGTGGAAGGCTTCTGGCCCAAAAAAGAAGGGGGAAGGCTGGAGCCCATAAATCAATCTGATAACTTTTATCTAGTCCTGAATTAAAACCTTCGTCATGATAACTTTATCTAGAATATTAGGCCCAAGGCCTAAGTTGAAGTTTGATAGGATATATACAATGGGCTCTTAGGCTTTCTAAGCCCATTCTTATTGTTGTACGGGTCAAGCCCACATAAGCTGTCTTACGACAGAAAACTATGACCAAGTCATAATCAAACCCAATAATTCATATTGTTCTGCGAATTATGAATTTGTTTTTGGTTTTTTTTTAAAGATATAATAAATGTTATATATATATATAATGAATCAATTTTACACTAAGAATGAAAGTGGCTCAATAATAATTTAAGATAGGTTAAATCTGAATTACATGTAACAAAATAAATTAATAGATAAGAAATTTTTGTCTCATTGTACATTCTAAATTTTCTTTTTTATTTTTAGAAAAAAAAAAGTCATTTGTAAGTTTTTGTGTCTTATTTATTTAATTTTTTTTTTACTAAATTTATATAGAGCTTAAGTCACATTTTTCTAATGTGTTAGAAATCATCATACCACAGGCTGATAAAAAAAATAAATAAAATAAATAAAGGAAGAAGAAGAAAGAAGTCATCATCATATATTCCACTATTTAGTATAGTAATTGTTCACAATTAAAGTTCTTTAACTACATGATGACTGGTTAAATTCAAATAAGATGTTTGAATGAATTATAAGTCCCTTTGATGGGAAGTTTGAATATACATATATTCTCAAGAATTCATATACGTAAAGGTTGTCTCAAACTTTTTTTCCTACCCACCTAGAGATAACTATTGTGTTAACAATTAAATAACGAAAAGCTCTCTAGAGCTACAAAATTTGGTAATGGGGCTTCCTGTTTGATTCATTGAGGGGACAATGCCAGCTACTTTGACTTATCCAAATGAAACCAGCTGCCCCAATTCACCATCTTTTCTTTGATAAAAGAACAACAACATATCCAAATGATGATCTCTTGATGACCTTACGCAAACTATGATTATTCGAGTCAAAAAAATTAGGGACACCATTAATCCTAACCTTGAAATCTTTGACTTTTAGAGATTCTATATATTCAAACCGCAAAATTAAGTGGAGATAAATTAGTTTAAGGTTTAGTTTTTTGAGAGTATTGGCTTGTATTTGTAGTGGTGGGTTTTTTTTTTTTTTTTAATATAAAAAAAATAAAATATTAATTAAAATAAATATTAAATATATAAAATATATTTTATATATTTTTAAGGTGTTGAAAGACAAAAAAACTTATAACTACAATTACATATCAGTGTTATCTAACTAAATCTAAGTTTATAAGATGATTGTTATCAATTGTTGTATAATTGACTATCAATTTGGTAAATTTGAAAAATATCAACTCAAACAAACAAGAGTTTGATTTTGAATTAAAGAAATCCGGCCCCAAAAATGGGAATAAAGTTTGCCTAAGAGGAAGGTAGGAGACCAAAAAATCTCTTACACATTATGCTTGTGGAATAAAAGGGAGCATCTATTCCGTAAGTAACACAAACACCGCCAAAAAAACCAAAGCCCTAAGCTGTATCTATCATTCGTTTAGGGCATTCTTGGTGATCCATTTCAAATGTATTGCCATGAAACTCTACCCTTCCTTTTCTAATGGGTTAATTTAATACTCTATCAGCATTTAGTCCCCAAACTTATGTAATCACTACAAAATTGATCCCTCAACTTGAAATGATACATAAATGGCCCTTTTACTTTTCTTTTCTGTGTATACTTTTTTTCGGTATTTATAGTTAGAGTCTGGGGTCAACTTTTGCAAATCTCAAAATTAATCTATTTTTCAGTAATTTTAAAAGCACAACTCTTACATAAGTATAATATATTTAAGAAAATTAATTTTCCTATCCATATCTATATCTATCTATCTATATTATATAAAATACTACCTAATGCATTAATTGAGATATAAATTTAAATATATTTTTTCTGTTTTAAAAAGTATGTGTTTTAATTCTACTTTTCGTTTTAATCTATGTTATAACATTATCTTACATTATTTGTCTTATTTTGACCATTATTTTGTCCATACTGCAAGATAAAAAAGAAGAAAATGCATTAAAAAAAAAAGGGGGAAATGTTGGAGTAAAAATGAAGAAGAAAACTCATGAACTGAGTAGAGTAGGATAAGTCCTTGATGATAATCAAAGGTTTATATTTAAGAAAATTAAAATTAATTAAAAATACTTTTTTATTGTATTAAATGGGGAAAATGAAAAAGGGAAGACTAAAGAGGAATGCAAAAGGTCAGCATCTTTAATTGGGAATGAGAAGCGTAAATAACCCAAAAAAAAAAGAAAAAAAAAAAAGAAGAAGAACTTAAAGCCTTAACAGATCCAATTAAAGGACCCAATATTTCATTTTTGTTATTTCTTTTACAATTTTCTTATTTACATTAAAATTAAGGTGTTATCTATCTATATTTATATTTATATTTATATCTATCTGTTCAAAAAATATATATCTATATCTATTTGTTCAAAAAAATATCTATTTATATCTATATTTATATTTATATATAGTGTTATATAAAATGCTATCTTATGTATTAATTAATATATAAATTTAAATATATATATTCTGTTTTAAAAATATAAATCTTTTAATTTAATACTTTTCCTTTTAATTTGTGTTAAATGCAATCCATCTCTTAATAATTTGTGTTAAATGCATTAATAGAACATTTTGTCTTCTATTTTACTTGATTTTATTTTATTTGAAAAAATAATTTTTTGTTTTCTATTTTGCATTTGTAGGTTACTCTTAGTTGGAATCATTTCGCTTTTTTATTTAATTCTACTATTATTCATTGTGTTTACCCATTTCATTTTATTTTGCATTTTTAATTTATCTACTTTCAAAAAAAAAAAGAAGTTAAAAGAGCACATTAGATCTTAAACCTTTATTCTTAATTAAATATTCTCTTTAATAATAATAAGAAAAAACTGAAATTGCATCTATTTCATTCTTTTTAAACTCAACCACCCTTAATTCTCATTGCATTTCTCCGATGATTTTCACAAAATCATCAACGAGACTTGAAGTGAAATGAAACCACCATTTGTGAAAATAGAAGTTGAAAAAGCTAAAGTTAATTTTTTTTTTTTTTCATTTGGTACAACTCTGGTTAATAATTTACTACTTCTATATGTATCATTTTGGCACACAAAACGTAAAATTGAAAATGCATTTGTTTTGTTTCTTTTTAAATTCACTCTTCCCCAGTCATCTCTAGATCCTTCAAGTGATTCCTCTTACAATCGTGAATTATCATGGTAAGCAAGTTCAAGGAATCAAGGTATATCAATTTCTAACAACAAAATTTAAATGTCTTATTCTAAAGACTTTTTTCAATTCAAAATTTAGTTGCAAAATATAAGTGTTTGGATTGTTTTTCTTCAATATGAATAGACATTTAATTCTAATAAATAATTTTTTTTGTAATTATGCTACATCTTTTATCTTATCTTTTAATTAATTTGTTGCTGGAATTTCAATAATATTTATAAGTAAATGATTTGCAAAACATATAAAATATGTATTTTTGAATCAACTTTCCCTAAAAATAAAAATAAAAATGTGAATATGTAGGTTGTGTGGTCTTCTGAGATGTTTTTAAAGAAATGGATTTGACCGATGAGACAAAAGAAAAATGAAAAATTGAAAACTAGTTTCCTTTATATAATGCGTAATCGACCAAACCCCAACATCAATAGCTTATGCAAACACTACTGCCTTTACCAAAAAAAGAGGGCATAGGGTGGAGGATTGATATATCATCATGTGATGTGCATGAAATTAGGCACACAAAACCTAAACATCCAACATGTGAAATTAATATGATGATGGAAATAATACTAAGAAAGAAAAAGGGCTCTCCAACTTTTCCGAGAACTACCAGAAGATGCTCGAAAAAATTCCAAAAGCAATTTCCTCCGTGCTGAAACAGTGAAACATCTGGAAAAAGTGTAAAAATAACAACAACAACGTTTTGAACTAAAACACATTAACCTTAATTTGTCCCCTCCAAATCTCCAAATAATTTCCCTTCTCTTTTCTTTTCCCTCTTCCCTATCCATTCAATTTATTCATTTCCTATTTTTGGAAAGAGAATAATTCCGTACTGTTGTTCCATGTATGGCATCTTTGTACTTTAGTATGCTAATACAATTCCATCCAATCAAAAAATGCCACGTGAACGATCGAGGGGACAATGTCAATTGTCCCTTGACAAAATAGGTAACATTTTCGATTTATCCTGTCTAACCACTAACTATAGCAACGTGAGTTGTCATGTTCTTGTTGGGTTTTTTTGGGGGGTTATAGTAGTGGACCTTACAATAGATGAGTCATGGCCTTCAACTATTATATTCAAATGTTACTTTCAAATGAGTAATAATCATAACATTTCAAAAAATTGATATAGTTATATACCTAACATCTCTCCCTCCCTCCCGTGCTGTATTATTGTGAGATTTGTTTAAAAGTATTATACACAAGATACTATAAATTTATAATATCATTTATTTAAGAATTTATTTATAATATTATATATATATATATTTATTTAATAATATATAATATATAATAATAATATTTTATTAAAAATAATATATTTTTATGATAAATTTCTTCTTAATTTTTAAGAAATAAGTAAATACTAACCCATTAATAATATTCTATTACTCAAGAGTTTGGTTTATTAATCTCTTGCTTTTCGGACGCACTCTCATGCTAAACTCACCATACATGTATATAGGTAGAAGCAAGATCCTTTTTCAACTCAAATCTTCTTCTTCTTAATTATTTCCTCCATTCTCAATATCCCTAACATGGTTAGCGCAGAGGTTGCCCGGAACATTATCGGAATCATCGGTAATTCAGATTTTTCTCGTCGTGATTTGGTTTATTTTCTTCTTTGTTCATATAAGCTAAAGTTCAACATATACTCTGCTTTGCAGGAAATGTCATCTCCTTTTTCTTATTTGCATCGCCAATGTAATTTTCTTCCTCCTCTGTTCTTTCTCTGCTTATGCCTATTTTTTAAAATTTCTTTTCCTTTTTTTGGTTTAAATTTGAATGATTTTTTTTTTTTAAAAAAAAATTTACATACATATTTTGGGTGTATAGACCAACTTTTGTCAGAATTTACAAGAAGAAATCAGTGGAGCAATTTAAACCAGACCCTTATATAGCATCAGCAATGAACTGCATGCTATGGGTCTTCTATGGCCTCCCAATAGTTCATCCAGATAGCATCCTTGTAGTCACCACTAACGGCACTGGACTCGTCTTGGAGCTCATTTATCTTACCATCTTCTTCATATATGCCAAGAAGAAAGGACAAGTTAGTACAATTTAACTTATTTAACGTAGTTGATATCTACTAACTTAAAAATCAAGAACTCATTTCAGTTTTTGTTTATGGTTCAAATCTTAATTGCAGCTCAAAGTCATTGGTTGGTTCATTGTTGAGCTTGTATTTTTGGGCATAGTGGCGACATGCACATTGCTGTTAAGAAAAACACATGAGCAGAGATCTACTCTTGTTGGCATCCTTTGTGTCGTTTTTGGAGGTTTAATGTATGCTTCGCCCCTAACAATCATGGTAAGCTTAATTAAGCATATAAATTCGTTACTCTTATGGTTTAGTCCCTCTAAATTTCAATTGGCTCATCCCCCCCCCCCCTTTTTTTTATTGACAGAGGAAGGTGATTAAAATAAAACAAAGAGCTAATTATACCTTTAACTTATGCTACAAGACATAAATTAGATCTCTCCTTCTTCTTCTTTTTTTATTTTTTATTTTTAATTTTATTGACAGAGGAAGGTGATTAAAACAAAGAGCGTCAAGTATATGCCCTTTTTTCTGTCACTTGCAAACTTTCTTAATGGAGTTATATGGGTAGCATATGCCCTAATTCGCTTTGATCTCTATATCTTGGTAAAAATCTTAATGATTCATTTTATTTTTCTTTAAATTGAAAATCTTATGTTACGTTTAGTTCGCAAAAAAAGATTTCCCGAAAATTATGAATAATGCGACTAATAAATGTATTTATTTCAGAAGTCATGTGCATTATAGGGATTATTATTATGGTAATTAATGATAAAAGCAAATGATGTTTGCTTCATCTGTGTAGATTGGGAATGGTTTTGGAGCAATTTTTGGAACGATACAGCTAATTCTATATGCATGCCATTACAAATCTACCCCAAGAGATGATGGCGGCGACGGGAAGCTAGCGGCGGAGCTGCAGCTCCCTACTCATAGTGGAAAAACACGGCCGTAGCTTGTTCTCCGGCAACAAATTTTCTGTTTTTATATTTTTTGGATTGATAATTCATGCATTTATGTTATTTTCTTCTGTAAACATAATTATATATAATTTATAATTATAATATCATATAATATTATAATTATATTATTTTTATTTATATCGTAGAAAATAACAAGGTCTATCTGTTTAGCACCTGTTAGGAATAGCAAACAGATTCACGGCCATTTGTTTTTATGTAGATAATTAGTTGATTGTTGAAACAATAATATTTTCAAAATTCACTTTAAAGTTTGTTGTTCTTAATTTTTTACTCCAAAATAGAAGTGGTTGGTAGGTTTAATAATATATCACATTATATTATTTTTTATGATTTTTCTGGTGTTAGAGAAAAAAAAAAGGTGAAGGGGGATTTCTTTTTTTTCTTTACCTATGAGAGGGGTTCTTTTAATTACTTTGGGATCGGAGATATTTACGTAAGGTGAAAATTATTTTCAATTCGGGCCTTGGTGTTCCTTCGGCTTTAGATCTGACCAAGTGGGCTCCACTGATGGTCCAAATAGCGGAGAATTAGCCCATGTTAGATTTTGTTAAGCAAATTAGCATTGAGAAATGGGTATGTGGCCCAATGACCCCTTTTTCTTTTTCTTTTTTTAATGGAGGACATTTTTTTGTCTTCATCTCTCTAGTTCTCACAAGAAAATAAATGAAGTATTTTCATTCAATTAGATTTTTTTGGTAATAGTTTTTCTTCAATTAGATCAAATGGAAGGTTAGGTAATTATACATGAAGAGAAAAGATAC